CATGGCCGACTTTGTCTTTTCTAAAGCAATGCTTCTTGATCTTATTTCTTCTTATCTCTGAATGTTTCTCCAGCCCTCTGACTTCTCATCCCAATGCTTGCTGTCAGAGCAGTCTCCTGAAAGCAAAGGGATTCCCTTACAAACTGTAAAGCAGCTCTTTGTTCATCAGATACAAGGGAAATATAGTGTGCAGGTATTTGTGAATATCTCTCTGGTTATTAGCATTCATGCAGGTGGGTTTAAACTTTATGCTTTACTTTATTGCTATCGATCTTGAAGGAATGGTTTTGGGAAAATACTTACTTTCTAGCTGGAAGTTGGATAAAAAAGTCGATACCACTCATAAATATGTACAGATTCAGCCAGCGGGCAGTTATCTTAGCTTTGCACAGAGAGTAACTCCAGGGGAAAACAGCTAGCGTGGCTCTGTTTAAAAGTAAAAAAATCCACTTACCTGCACCTGTAAAACTCTCCTCAGTCAGTAAGTGCACTTCCCAAACTGTCGAACTATTCCTGTAAGTGAAATGCGTTTTTAGAGGCCATTTCCCAATACCAAGAGACACATTTTCTGACGGCTGTCATGGATATGTAGTACATCATACTTGCCAACCCTCCCGATTTTCGCGGGAGACTCCCGATTTCATTGCCCTCTCCCGGTTTCCTCCTGGGGTCATATTTCTCCCGCATTTCTCCCGATTTCTGACTAAATCAGATTTACTCAGGACTGTTTCCACTCGGACTTTAATACAGCTACACCATTGTTTGGTTTCCATGGTAGCGTAGCGCGCAACTGAAAGTCTGAGAGGGTGAGGAAGATAGTCACAGCAACCAGAACAAGAATCGACAATTCTACCCTCTGCTCACTCCTTGCATCCGGCGATCCACTAGCACCCCCCCCCTCCCGCGGTGGTTTTGGAAAAGCTCCGATTTCTGAGGTCTCAAGGTTGGCAAGTATGATGTACATGCATGTGACAATTTACCTGTGGGAGCATATCAATCCATAGATCAACAAAAGACAAATGTAAGACTTGTCAAAAAAACTATATTAAAGCAAAATGAACGGTATGAATTCTTAGAGTGGAGTATATTTAGAAATATCAAAATCATCCAGTACTTGTCAGACACGTATACTGGATGATTACCACAACTGTGAGATGTTTAATTTAACAGGTTATTATTCATCATGTTTCACATATCAATCAAGTCTTTTCTCATAAAAGCAACTTTCACTACCGACTCTGGGAAGGGCGTTTTTTTTTATCACTTAACATCCACAAGTTAACGGTTAGTGGTTACTTTACCCCAGAGAGGACACCAAGGCTCTATTTTTTATAAACTCAGCACAAGGTGGAAACAGAAAAAGTGGAGTTATGTGCAGAGTTCAACATTTTTGTGGAAATGCTTTTGATGTGCAGAGGTAGAACAATGATTCAGAATGACAGGTTTGATGTGCTCCAAGTAACGAGGGGTTTTGTTGTACAACGGTTTAATGATGGTTGGAAATAAACCAGCAGATCTATCGTGCAAATAAGGGCAGTTACAGACAACAGGCTGTAAACTGCCTTTTGCCATTGTGACATAACTGCATGCTGAAAAGAATAACCTTAAAAACCATGCTATAAAATAAAGTTGTTTCTGCTGTAACAACATTGGACTAAATTACACATATCACCAAACTAATTATGGGTTGCTAATTATGGGTTGCTAATTCATGTTGCGGTTCGTAGAGCTATAACATTAGGATGTTTTCACAGCTGGCGTGTCGGTACGGTTTAGGTTAACTCAGGGTAATCAGCATCATTCAATTGTAAATGAAGGTGCTGAACATATTAAACAAAACTCCTGAGGGTGAATACATACTAAATCTCAATTTAAACCAAATCAAAAAGTCTGCAGGCCTGAAAGTGAAGTTACATTTTGCCCCGTGGCAAACTTGGTAGAGCATTACAGTTTTAAACCGATATTATACTGGACGAACACTTTCCCAAAATGCAATAGGTCACATTAAACTTGAAAGACTTTTCTAATGCTACGAATTTTTGTTATGAGATTACTTGAAAGCAGTCGGGATGAAAAGTGAGTTTTTCCCTCGTCCTGATGAATCGGTGTTAGCCTAAAAATCCAATACCAGTCATTTTAAATGCATTGCGTTGCAGCTTGTTAGAGCAGCACCAAGTAATGGGGAACCTTGGGAACAACACCATCTTCAAGTTAATCTTTTATCAAAGTATTAAATCATTCAGATTCGTTGCCAGTTTCCTTGGCTAAATCACTAACTAAAAATCTGTGTTTGGATCCTCCATGGTTCATGCATGGTGCCACGCTTCACTCGGACCTATTGCTGTTCATTTATCTGTTTATTTGTGGAAGCACGTGGGCTGCTTCGCCTCCCTCTCCTTCTTCTGTTAACGTTGACTCATCCATTTTCAGCCAGTTAATAATTCAGAGGGTCTGCAGGCTGTGTTTTCATCTGTCTCATCCCTGTGAAAGAAACCCCTAGTAATTACACACCAACCAAAACAAGACACTGACTCCGATGGCTGGCAGCGTGGTAGGGACGGAGAGTTACAAAGTGGGGAAAGAAGAAGAAGAAGAAGAAGAAGAAGAAGAAGAAGAAGAAGAAGGGTGAGGAGGAAGGAGAGATGGGAGGATACACACTGGAGACAAGAAGGATACACAGTGGAGAGAGGTGTCTCTGCACGGTTGTAAATCCTCTGCAGGGCCTTGTAAGCTGTCAGACAAGCTGAGGGTGTTAGAGGCATGGAGTGAGAGCTTCACATACTCCTGGACACCAATCATGCGCAGAGGGAAAAGTTTTCCTCCTGTGACTGGCTCGCTGCTGTGTTTTATGGCTTTCTATTCCTATGTGATTTTTCTCTGGCATGTCACATAGGGTCTTAAGCCATTGGGTACGGAGTGGGAGATCTGCAGACGAGGATTAGATGGATATACGAAAAGACAGGAGGGATAACACAAGTGCACATGGAGAGGTTTTATGGCATACATGGACACACACACACAACCCCGTACACTCTGCATGGCTCGAGGCGTTTTGTCTCAGCCTGCAGTCTGGCTCGGCTAATTGCCCCCATAAGACACAGGTTGAAGCGCACATCAATCCCTAAAGCCACACAAACACGCATGAATACGGACACTTTCTGTTTGGTCTGGGCCTTTGTTATTGTCCCCCACTCTCTCCCACTTGCATTGCACACACACACACACACACACACACACACACACACACACCTACACACACACCTACACACACACACACACACACACACACACACACTCTCACACAGCGAACACTGCTGGTGCTGCTGACTCAGGTTGGTATTTAATGAAGCTCTCAGTTTCACCTCGAGTCTCCTAATCTCAGCGCTCGTTTGTGATTGGCTTCCAGCGTGCTTCTGAAAAATGTTAACGTTGGGAGTTTAGTGAGCCTTAAGACTACTTCTGGCTATAATTGTGTGTGTGTGTGTGTGTGTGTGTGTGTGTGTGTGTGTGTGTGTGTGTGTGTGTGTGTGTGTGTGTGTGTGTGTGTGTGTGTGTGTGTGTGTGTGTGTGTGTGTGTGTGTGTGTGTGTGTGTGTGTGTGTGTGTGTGTGTGTGTGAGAGTAAAGGAAGTAGAGAGAGTGGGTGAGTAATTGAGGCGCATATGGGGATGGGAAGAAGAAATGTGAGAGGTAGCATAATGGTAATGTGTCTCCTCTCTGAGTGACAGCGCTCAATAGACCACCATCTTTACCGCAGTGTATGTTTGACTGACCTATTAACGAAGTAGCTTCCTCTGCATTGACTTTCTTGCTGGGACCGCGGCAAAAACGTGAAAGGCAAACTCACACGGCCTTGAGCATTATCGACAGCTGTCTCCTATCTATTTACTCGATTACAACACCAGCTGTAGGTTGTGTGAGTGATGGGAAATCCTAGCTTTTTAGGCTAGAAAGTGAAGAAAATATGGAAGTGCCTCAATCTTGCATTTGTATTATTCAGCAGAGACGGGCAACTTCACTAGGGTTAGGGTTAGGGATTTCAAAAAAAAGTCTGGTTGTATAGAAGTCTACAAGAAAAAGTCACTACTTCTCACTTGATTTAGTACATCAGTAAAAAAGATTCTGGCAATTTTATGATCGCATCTCGTCATTTTGTAAATTATCTTCCCATTTAGTGTAAAATAGACAATAATGCAGGATGCTTAAGGGCTGGGCTTTCTTGAGATTGACAGGTCTCTGCTAGTGATATCCGGTCTGGAGGCCACCCGTGTTTTCATCTTACAACTTCAACCCTTTTTACAGACTGTTTTCTGTTCATGAAAGTTGATTGTAACTTTCTGGTTATCCAAGAAATTGGCAACCAATTCCAAGACGATTAAGATTTGAAGCTTTTTGGTTGCGTATAGGAGGATACGTTCCTGACAGGCGGTTTCCTAGCATTTGGTTGTACCAATTCACTATTGGTCGCAAAGAACACGATGTATGAGTTAATGTAGGTGTCAAGGGATCCAGAAGTAAATGTCATGTTAATTCAAAGTAAGGTGACTTCCAAAATGGACATTTTGAAAACAAAGATCCATTTATCGAGCTTAAAGATAATTAGTAGATAAGAGGTTTGCACTGGGTTTTTTTCAGGCTGATCCTCAGAGCAGCCGGTATGCACAGCACAGCATGACGTGGCAACTTTCTTACTTGTTCATATTTTTGACTTTCGGCAAGTCTTTTAGGCAAGCTTGAAGTGAATCCAATGATGCCAAAAAAAGTCTTAATCTCTTCATGACTTCAGTTAAAAGTTCAACTCAAAACTTTGCCTCAATATGAAAAAGCAAAGAGAGAACATTAAAAGATTCTGCTCTTTCTTGTTCTTTGATACTGGATATCTTTTTAGAGTTCAAAAGCATCGTGAGCAGTGTGATATCTAGGCAGATTGCCGGAAGAAAGAGACACATTTTAACGCCTCCCCTCCTCTCTTCCCTGCCCCTCCCTCTCTATCTTTCCGCAGGTTTACGTGGATGCGGTGCGTCCGATAGATAATGCCCTTCACCTGGGCCTGCTTCTGCGGCCTGAACGGATCCTGCTGCCGACGAGAGAAGAAGAAAAAGCAGCAAGAGGAAGTGGAGGGTGAGGAGGCAGAGCAATGCAGGGATCGTGAGACTGAGGTGTGGTAGTGCTGCAGCCTCTCCTCACCTTCACCACGGTCTTATCCTTTAACAGACTGAATATATAACGCCTTTACGTGTAACTGCTGCCTAGCAAAGACTGTCTGATATTATATATGTTGATACTATAGAGTGGTGCAGTCCACTAAAAGTCCTACAATCTGGAAATTAGTTTGCATTTAACCACTTCCAGTTGGCTTGTCTCGAAGTCAACCATTTTTTTAACGTGTTTGTGGTGGTAAGAAGCGTGAAATAAGGTTTGTGGTTACCACAAGCTGAAGAGATGTTGACAATGTTGCTCTACGATATATATAAAATACATCAGTCAATACCCCACTCGTGAATATCTGAAGCTTCTGTCCTGAAAAAGGCGTTAGCTAACAAGTGGTTGAATGAGACACCAACATTAGCCGCCTTTAGCTTAGCCGTCTTTAGCTGAGCCGTCTTTAGCTTAGCCGCCTTCAAACCATGATGTAATTTGTTTGTTAGCCTAGCATTAGCTCTTTACTTATGGCGATTGCATTTACGTCTAAAAAACACAAATACAAATATGTGGAGATTATCCTGCTGAACAAAAAGAGTAAGTATTAAAAAATGTATGTTTGCCAAATATCTTATTTTCTGCAATATTGAGAAATCCAATGGAAAAATCCCATTCCTTTTTGTCGAGGGACTCGATGGTAACTTCCAGGTCGGCATACATTATACCTAATCACTGCACCACTCTATAACAGGGACGGTAAAGGGGCTTCAGAAGTCACAGGCTTTTATTGTGAATATGTACTAAAATGTAACAGAAACTGCATTGTTTCCAATTGTATCTGTGACTTCTATGTTCTTTCCACTTTTTAATCTGTAGAACTGTAATAAATATAAAAAATAAAAACCTGTGACCTTGGAGTTGATCCCCATTCATGCTCACTCTTTTCCCCTGGCAGCTGACAAAAAAACTAAAGTTTCTTATCTGTTTGATTCATTTCTCACTATACCCGTACTGTATAAGGTGTGAAGAGCGAACCATTATATCTCTCGGTCACACTTCTCAGCCGGCCCCCCGTTTCTCCCCTTCTTGCCGTTAATCACACCTCCACGTCAGATCAACTTAGCGAGAACTTCAGCCAAGTGAGAAAGTGTACAGTAATTTCCAAAGTCACCCATGGAGGGCTGGAGTCCATCTCGCTTTTCACGCTGAGCTGGGCCCAATATACAGCCGAGCAGCTGTCCAATCAGCAGCTTAGCTGGAGTGTGAAGATGGGAGTCAGGGGTCAGGATGAGCAACAGGGTTTGTGAGAAGTCCCTCCTCTGATGCCGTAGCATCTCCGTCTCATTAATCGGCAGACGAGTAATTACAAACACGCACACACCGATGCAGACCCATCCATTAATGTCCTCCTGTGGGAGTGGAGAGTCTGTCCGTAAATGCCACTGCGGCGCTTCCAGCTGTCACCTGTGTGAGTGTGTGACTCCCAAAGTGTGTGTGTGTGTGCTTGTGTTTCATCTTGGCTGCAACAAAAGACTTTCAAAATGTGAAACAAGAGGTTAAGAGATCTTTTCAGCAGCTATAAAACTCTGCTTAGAATGCATGTCGAGCAACACACACACACACACACACACACACACACACACACACACACACACACACACACACACACACACACACACACACACACACACACACACACACACACACACAGGTCTCATTAGCGTATGTGATTATGCATGGCACGTCCAGTCAGGCAGTGGAGATGTAATTAACCTTTTCCAGCAGGAAACAGATGCCTGGATGTCACACGCAAACACACAATGACATACATACACACACACGTCTGCTGTCAGGGAAACAAAGCCAACGTCACGGTGTCACGGAAACAAAGACCCAAAAAGCGCCGCCTGGCACTGTGATAATCCCCTCACGCATATTTACATTCAGGGCTTAGAAAACGCCTCAGTGCCGCCGCCTCCACCCCCCGCCTCCACCCATCCATCTTCTATCTCTTCTCCCTTCTACCTTTCGCCCTCTCGCCACCTTTTCCCTTCCGATATCACCCCCTCCGTCTTTTACATCCCTCCAAAGACTCCCTTCTTCATGGGGTTTTCATTATCAGGGGATAGTGCATGGCCTTGCATGGCGTCTCCCATAGATTAGCCCCCGCGCTCTCTCTTTCTCTCACTCTGTATATCATGGATTTCTTCAGGCGGGGCAAAAAAAAGCTGCTTTACAACAGATCAATGGACAGCCCTGATTGTGTGTGTTGGTGTGTGTCTGTGCCGGCGTGGAATAGATTGTCTGTTTACTCATTCTTCCGCTACGAGCGGCGAAATGAGACAAAGCTAAAGCCATTTCACAGTGTAGAGCACCTATTATGATTCACTGTGTTACGACGCAGCCTTAATGAGAAGAGAGAGAATGAGGAGATGGGTTGGACGAGGATCGGGGAGGAAGAGTAGAAAACAGACGGTAATGAGAGTTAAAGTTGGATACGGAAGAGGGGGGCTAATGCTAGACAGAGCAGTCATGCTAATTGGCTACAGTGGATAACTTTCTGAGGCGGGGGGTGTGTGTGTGAGGGGGAGGGGGGCAGAGAAAAAGAACAGCCTGATCCATCGGCATTACACTCGTTTATCGCTCCCTCCAATTCACCCCTTTAATGAGAGGAATATTCGCTCCAGAAAGACTTGAAATTGGTAACGATTTGTTGCTCTAACACACTTTGAGGTGGAAGGTGGGGCGGAGGAGGGGGGGGGGGGGTGGGAGGTTAGAGGGTGGATAGTGTTGGTGAGGATGGGTGTGTGTTTTCCCTCAAGCACCACAACCCAGTATTTTATGGATCATGGCAATTTTCAGGGATTGTAACTCAAGGACAAACAGCTAAAAATAGAAAGGTGGTGCACGACTCCTGCGACAGCCGGGAGGGGAGGTGTGTGTGTGTGCGTGTGCATGTGCGTGTGCGTGTGTGTGTGTGTGTGTGTGTGTGTGTGTGGTGTGTGTGTGTGTGTGTGTGTGTGTGTGTGTGTGTGTGTGTGTGTGTGTGTGTGTGTGTGTGTGTGTGTGTGTGTCGCATTAGATTTGGGTCAGAAACGAGGGGAAGAGCCGACGAAGCGGAGAGTGTTGCAGACGGCTTCAACACCTCGCCGCCTAAACCGCTGCAAAGACAAGTGGGAAACAAAAGGGAGACTGAATGATAGCGAGGTTATATACAATTATAATATAAATACAGTATGCTATTCTATCAAACTGCTGTATAATACATACATTCTAACTTTTGAGGATCCAAGAAGGGAACAACCCCTTATGGTAGAGCTTTACTCTCAAAGAAAAACTAAGGCAAAGGAGAGAGAGATGGACATTTTCAGAAACACATCAATATACTAACCTGCTGATCGTTTGAGAAGATGGTCAATTCATGTCTGTACGTGTTTTGAAGTGGAAATCAATTAGGTTAGCTTAGCTTAACAAGACTAGAAAGCATAAATGCAAGTATGCATATTTATGTGTCAAATTATATTTATATCTAAATATCGATATATTCAATCCAGTGTGTATGTGTTGGTTTTCACTCTGTATCACACAAGGTATTGAACCTATAACCTTCCCATGAAAGTGCCTTCCTCAATGAAATGTAACCCCCTCACCACTTCAATCTGTAAGACCTAGTCCAGATTTATTTTTGATAAATGTCCAAACAAAAAAATTAATCTTTGTCCAAATGAAAACGACTCTTTGTATCTTTGTACCTTCATAGGAGTTTTTCAACCAGTTTCGCCATTTGCGTGAAGATAGTCTGAAAGTCTGATACTCATATAAAAGCTACATTTTTAAGACACCTGTGTACATGCGGACTTGACCAAACTTCCACATCATGCAGTAGACGGTGCCTTCAGAAACTACATACCAATACTTCCATTCAATTACATTCATGACAATATCTCCGGGGAACAGAACCCTCAACCCTAGAAGAGTTACTGCAATACCATTGAGCTCCTTTTCCCATTTCTTGTGTCCTTAGACTCCAGTTCCATTCTGTATTCCTAATGAATGAATAGGAAAGTGATGGTCCCACTAAGGCTAATTATGAGGAGTGGGATGCATAGCGCTGGCAGACTGGTGATATCAACGCTGAACACTTAGAGCTCCCTACAGTCCTGGAGGATCAGAGGAAGGGAAAAGATGAAAACTAGCGGAAGATAAGGTGAACAGAGAGATATAGCGTAATTGAATTTGTAATAGGTTTTGTCAGTAGCACCTGTCAGGGTCAAGTTAAAACGACTTTGGTCAGGGTAGAAGAAACTAACTGGATAGAGGAGAAGGGGGCAATTGGAGTCAGGATCCTAGTAGATGCCAACCTCACCTGATTGCCAATTTGTGCCAGTCTACAGACACACAAATGGCAATGTTTTTGGGAAAGTGCTAACCCAACACACATTCACTCACACATATAGGAACTCATGCTGACAACCCACTGATTGGACACATCGAGCCACTTAACAAGGTGTCCACGGCGCAGACCTAAGCCGCGTGATTGGGAGATAAACCTGCCGCCGTTAAATATCTAATTCTCCCCCATGTGTGGATGAAAATAAGGAGCAGCGCTGATTAGATTGCAGCCCGCTGTGCCAACCCTCGGATCAGCGCCATGTTCATTACCCTCACCCATCTCTCCCCCACCAACCCCAACCCCAACCAATCCTGTCTCGGCGCGTGTTCTCCTGCCAACCGCGAATACTCTATTTGCGGTGGAAAAGCAATTCTGACACCCTCGAGAGTTGAGGTCGATGCCTGAGGAGTGATGAAATTAAGTCGAGTGAAATGTATTTAGAAGTCGCTGCTCAAGCTGCACCTGGCAATTCAACATGTTGACAGGCCTGAATGGCAGCGAGACATATAACCTGATTGAAATGTTGGGACCCTCCGAGAAATTCTGTTAAGGTGGTGTCAGAGTCAATGTGATGAAGAGGCTCAACCATCAGCCTGAGGAACGGGTCAAAACTTGATGTTGTTTGGGATTTTACTTTTCTCACACACATAGAAAATGTTTGGTGCCATCAAACTCTTTGACAACCTGATTTCATTCAGGCAAACTCTAACATTTTCGCCTTCGCTGAAAGGAGAGTCATATTTCCAGATATCCATTTTATCGTCAAAATGAACATGAGTACAATCAGCTGGCTCCACGAGGCCAAAGCTGTTCGGAAACGGAGGATATTTCCTTCGTGGTCAGGTGTTTTAGGAACCTGGGTGAAGGTAATGTTCTACTTAGGTGGATTTGAGGTAGGCTTAATCAATATATTTAATCTTTACGTCAGTGGCGTAGGCAGATATCAAAGAGTGGGTGGGCCCAAAAAAAATCAGGTGGGCCCAGCCCGTTCAAGACCACACATACTTAATGTTAGGGAATAATTTGCTAAGGTATTCAACCTTTGACACAGTTCATCATTTTCTCCTCTCACTGTCTCTTTTCCCACGGCATAGTTCTACGGCCTTGGGTATTGCTGCTATCTCTCTTAAGGAGGAGCAGCTTGGGCGCATTGTTGTTGCCAGTCTATGACCGAGCACAAGGTAGTTTACTGTTCAGGGACGAAGGTTCCCTGGCACACATTCTTTTCTATGGACGAGAGCTCTAGGTAGATTCAGGGTCCACAATTGTTTAGTCTCACTGATAAAGAATGTTGATTATTACACTCCGAACTAGTTAAAACATCGAGCTGCGGAAGAGTTCTTCAGAATTGGTTTGGCAACCGCGGTGTCAACTCGTGACACACCACCTGTTTTGTCAATTCTCCGGCCGTAACTCCAAATAAACCGTCAGTGTTTGCCATCAAAGCTCCAGCTCTCCTCGTGCCTCTCTGAGTCCTGTTACCAATTGCTTCAGAAGTTTCCCCCACACTTAATATGTCCT